AGACGATGACCTCCTTCTTGTTTTCCCAGCCTGAAGCGAAGTGTCTCTGAGCGAGGCCGTCCATGATTCCGATATAACGTTGCAGAGCCTCTGGCTTCAAGAACTGAGGAAGCAGCTTCCTCATCTTCTTCGCTTCTTCCTGGGAGTTCGTCTGAAGCGACGTCGGGAACAACTTGTTCACGGAGTCCGGCCACCACCCGGCAACGAGCTTGTTCTCGTTGGAGAACAAGAACTTGTTGCTTGCCGTCTCGCAGAGCACCGCCGCCGGCTCGCCGAAAATGGAGGTCTTGAAGATACGGGACGAGAACTTGTGCATGCGATCGAAGATGAACTTCTCGGGGTGGCCCTTCCATCCGGTGGACAGAAACTCAAGGCTCTCTCCGATCAACGGATAACCAATCGTGCCCGGTGGGAGGTTGGGGCCGGCGAACATGGACCAGTGCCTGTAAAAGAGGAAGAAGAGAGGGAGTGTGACGAAGGAAACGAAGAGAATGAGAAGGGAAAGGTAGAAATGCTCCATGATTATCAGTTGTTTCGATCTGCTTTGCGAATTCTGGAAAATCTGATTTAAAGGCCGATGGATGCAGTGAGGCAAGTTTGGGTGTGCTTTGCAATTTATAGCCCTAAATGTGATGCTCATCAGTTCCAAAACTGACATGTGGCGGCATGGCAAAACCAGGAGTCAAAGCAAGCTCGCTAGCTAGCTCATTTGCGCGTACCTAAATATAAATTATTTAAAAGGTCAAATTAATTATTTTCTGTTTTGCTGATAAGAAAAGGAAAAGCTTTTGGAAGTAATATATATTAATATAAGAAAGAAAACAAGGAGTATAATAAAATAAGAGTTGGTAATGTTATAGTAAATGTTTGCGAGTTCAGCATGCTCCTCGATCTCCACTATGAATATGATAGCATGCTTCAGTGCATTTACCTTTTCCTCTCTTCTCAAGTGTGATCGGTCCTCTAGGGCACACATCGATCTGTCCCATATATATATATATATATAGACACACACTTTAACACCCTAGTATTATCGTACTCCTCTACTCCTAAATAGTATAAGGGTCTTATATTTAGGATCGAAGGGGTATTAATTAGTGACATGTTCTGAATATTTTATTTTTAATATGATTATGTGGTCAAATTTAAGTATCATCCAACCCATATACATGAGACAGCCGCGACAATGCCTAATGAAGTAGGTAGATTCCAATTGATAAAGAATTATTGGATATTTTGTTTATAGAAGTTTTTACTCTTTTAAGCAACTTCTTCTCTTGCAGTATTTTGAAATTAAATTATGAGAAAAATATGTTGGAGATAGTGAACACTGTTTATCTCCAATAAATGAGTAATTAGAATTTATTTTATCTAATTTAATTTTGAGTAAAAAATTACAAATTTGGAAAACCAAATAGATTTGAATATTATATTTATGACCAAAATGAAGCTCTTGATTAAATCTTGTATAAATAACATTTATTTATTACAAATAATTAACTTAACTAATTTTTTTAATCTATTCAAATTAGTCAACGAGCTCTTATGTTAAGAACCGGGAATAATATTTAGGATTGGAGGTAATTTTATCATTGATTGTATAATAAGTTGAGTGGATGAATGATGGTGGAGATAGTGGATGAAATGAAACCGAGCCCGCTAGTGATCAACATATTGACAGCACTAAGCAGGATCATTCCCAAGTGGAAATTGATACCAACCAAGGATATAGTCGACATTGCCTTCAAGCAACCCCTAGTTAGAGAACAGGTATTTATCTATCTATATAACTATAATGCGCCACTGCCACATTCCAAAAGCTGACTGAAAATGCATAAATATATAATATGAGTCATTAAAGTACTTATTGATGATGACAAGTTTCTATGATGAAATTATTGCAGATTAAAAATAACCCACTGTGCTATAAAGGACGGCCCAGATTGAAAACTGGATACGAACTTTACAGAGTTAGGGTACAACTGGAGCGAACATTACAGGAGGTATATACATTTATCTGTTATCAGAGTTAACATGTAAATCGACCCATAAAATATTTCTCTATACATGAACATTCTGTATAATAATATCCGTTACTTTAGTGTGATCATAAACTAATAGGCGTTAGTTGCACTTAACGGGCATGACATTTTTGTTTCATTTGTATATGTTTGTGTGTAATCTTGCATCAAAGGAAATTTTATGGTGTTAGATGTACGTCGATGAATACTTCAGGGGTAGATTTGTTTACTAACATCTGTTTCTTAGAAATAAGCCTGGATACGCCACATATATGTATATAATACAAAATAAAAGGGTTTGTTTGGATATGCAGGTGTCACCACCGTTCTTGGTTCTACACGGTGAACATGACAAAGTGACAGATAAATCAGTAAGCATTCAGCTGCATAAGGTGGCTTCAAGCACTAAAGTCGTATCCCGGAATGTGGCATGGCCTCCTCATCGGAGAGCCGCCGGAGAACTTGAACATCATGTACGAAGGCATTGTCGATTGGCTTGATGACAAATGCAAGTATGGAAATACCAGATTGGAGAGAGAGCTTAAAAACCAAAACGAGAACAATCCAACAATTAAGGCTTAGACAACACATTAAGCTTGTATTTTAATTTCCCATCTACATTCATGTTGTTCCTGATTTTTATGTACCTACCAAATTACAAACTATTGGGTGTCTATATACTCTGTTCGTAAAGAATCAATCAATGTTTGGAACCTTAATTTGTGCTATTAAAACCGTTTTAGTTTCCCTCAACAAACATGATAGATCAAGCAATATGGAGTGCTTTGAAAAGCTGTGGAGAAAAATCAAAGAGAATATTTAATAAAATTATTGAGCGAGACTTTTTAATTAATAATTTGTTTAAAAAATCTAGTTGTTAATAGAACACTACCTCCGGTTTTTAATATAAAGGCTAGTTGATTAATTTGAATAAATTAAAAAAATTTGTTAAGTTATTTATTTGTAATAAATATATGTTGTTTTTCCTAAAATACCTTTGCTAGTCAAATATATTAGCTTTAACATATGTAATTAGAGACTATCTTGAGGAAAAATCAATAAATAAATGAGACAAAGTTGATTGAGATCTTATATTTATAATTAAACTGAAAGTCAAATTAGTTCATATATTACCTCCGGTCCTAATTATAAGACTTCATTTATAGTCTACAAACGACTTCTTATAATTAGGATCGGAGGTAGTACAACAGTGCCATGGGATTCATATATTTGATATGGTGGAAGAAGGCTTGTTGTCTGTGGTTTAATGAAGACTGTGTCTTTGAATTCATCCACACGGGAGTGTTCATTGAATGCTCTTTCTCCTCTCGAGTCCTGCCTTCGTTGATTTAGTTCTGTTTGGGCAACAACTGTTACTGAACCAAATTTAGTCTTCAAAGAAAAAGAACCAAATTAAACCTTTTTCTTTTTTAATGCTACTCCCCTATTGGGCTACAGAAAGTTGACCGTGAAAAGTGGGCTATGCAAAGTTACTTGTGTTCTAGGTTCATTTTTTTTGGGCCAATACGGAGGAACAAAATGAAATGGGTATATAAAAACGAAAATGGGCCAATACGTTACAGTCATTTGATTTGGTGCCCGAAATAAAATAAAAAACCGTGTGAATAAAATAGGTTTTCCTATTTTTTTAATAAAATAATAAGACTAAATAGTACTCCTTCGGTCCTTAATATAAGACCCATTTAACTAATTTGATTAGATTAAGAAAGTTAGGTAAGTTAGTTAATTATAAGAAAAGTGACACATTTTTCCTAAAACACCATAATCATCTTTTTTAATATCCCTCTCCCTCTTCTACTTGATTATGGTTGAGAGAGTATCCATAGGGGTAATTTAGAGAAAATTGATAAATATGAGAAATGGGTCTTATATTTAGGACCAAAACCAACTCAAGAATTGGATCCTATATTAAGGACCGGATGAGTACTACCTAATCCTAATTATAAAAGCCAGTTGACTAATTTGAAGAGATTAAGGATGTAAGTTGAGTTAGTTATTTGTCCTAAATAGTTGTTATCTTTCCTAAAATATCCTTACTAATCAAGTGTATTAACTAGAACTATAATTATTAGAAGGATTATCTTGAAAAAAAAATTGAATAAATATAAGAGACAAAGCAATTTGGTTCTTATATTTAGGATCAAAATAAAAATCAAATAGAATCTTACACTAAGGACCAGAAGTAGTAGGAAAAATAGCAAATAAAAACCCATGAATTACCAAGAAGATCATCTGAATAAGCCAAATTATCAAGATGGGCCTGGTCTCAAATTGCTATGAAATCAAGCTAAAACGACAGAAATACCTTTCTTCTCTTTCTCCCATCACCCCATCTCTTTCTCTTCTTCTCTTCTTCTTCCTCTCTCTCTCTCTCTCCCCGTCCTTCTCTTCCTCTTCCTCTCCCTCTCTTTGTCTTTCTATTCCTCTCCCTTCCAACACCAATCATCTAGCTGGATTGAGCTTGTGGCCATGCCCATCGATCTTTATTATAGAAGTGATAATCTTGGTTTCAAGGTTGGGGTGGAATGAGACGAACGGGAAGGCCCTTGGCAGGAATAGGCATAGGATCAACAATAATCTTCTCATGAGGAAGCAGTTTCTGCCAGTTGAACCTCTTCACTAAGTTGTGCATGAACACCAGAATTTCCAGACGAGCGTACTCTTTTCCAGGACACATCCTCGGACCCCCTCTGAACGGTACGAATGTTTATGGTGCCGGACCATTTCCTTCGAATCTCGTCGGATCGAACTTGTCTGGTTCTGGGAAGTATTCTGCGTTCTTGTGAATTGAATTTGCACTCCAGTACAGCTATATATTTTCATCAACGAGACAGAGAATTAACCACATTAGTTAGTTACTTAAGCTAATAATTAAGATTATGTTTATGTGAAGGCGTAGTGACATTATATATATATATACATATATATATATATATGTGAGTACATGCCTTCTAGCCCTTTGGGATTGTGAAACCATTGAAGATGAAGTTATTGATGGCTTCCCTGAAAGCTCCTTGGAGTGGAGGGGCGAGTCTCATGACTTCACAAGCTACGTACCATGAGTATTTCATCTTTTGGATGTCATCCAAATTCAGTAATTCCCCCGGGGCTTTTGATTTCGCAATTTCCATTTGCTCTGTATTAATAAAACCGAAGGAAATTAAAGAGGGTGATGAGGAAATTAAATAAGTCTTTAACTTTTTATTTCAAGGAGGAGATTGTGTGTTTGTGTGTGTGTGTCATCGTACTCGCACAATAAAGTGAAAGATTCTCGCTTGGGCTTTTATTGACGAAATCAGTAAGATATGTCCAGCAAGACCAGAAACAAAAATAAAATTTGCAAGCTAAAATAGTGTCACGTTCTCATATGAACAATATAAATATTAAGAGACTCGAAGACAGGTAAAAGATATGACGTGTTCCCCAGAAGTCAGTCGGGGATAATGTGAAAATTAAGATGCATTCGTTGGTTGATTTTCTTATGTATTCATAAAGTTTAATAAATGTATTAATTAATATTTTAATAAATGTATTAATTAATATTAATTATGGTATCTTTTCCCCCCCCCCCCCCCCCGGCCAGTCCAGTGAAATTCCTGAAGATGACACGGTACCAATTGAATAGCGGGGCCATATGAATCCACCGCTCTATAAGTAAATAAATGAAAAAACATATGAAGGTGAAAGACAAGACCAAGGTTGTCATAGTCGGTGGGCTTTAATATGGATGTATTAATTATTTGGAACATATGAAGCACTGCACCTTCGATCCTTAGTATAATAACTAGTTTGACTTTCAATTTAGTTATAAATATAAAATCTCAATCTACTTTGTTTCTCATATTTATTCACTTTTTTTAAAAATAGTTCTTATAGTAGTTGGCTATTTGAGCATGTTAAATATTTTATCAAATGCTAAAGCTAATACATGTGATTAGTTAAAGTATTTTAAGAAAGATAATACTTATTTATTATAAATAACTAACTTAGCAAACTTTTTTATCAACTCAAATTAGTTAACTAACTCTTATATTAAAGATCGGAAATGGTGTATAAATCTGCAAGAGTTTGACTTCCAAGATGTCGTGTGAGAATGAAAACGGCGAGCAACTTGTCAATGATATATCCCTTAAGTAAATTAACGTAAGTGGCTGTGTCGAATTTTATAAGTAAGGGGTAACCATTTCAAAAAGGTTTATTTCGTGGTTGGGATAAAATCACTTATAGAGTTTTAGGTAGGATCAATTGTTTTTTCCCCTAAATATTACGCGGCATAATTGAGATTAAAATAGAAATTTTTTACCTACTATACTTTTTTTTTTGGGCATCAATTTTCCTCAAACTTCTACTATATCAATTCTATGAAAAATTCCATTAATGTCTGATTAAATGAAAAATGAATTTTTTTAGCCCGAATAAATGATGCCAAATAGAAACAAGATCATAGCGATGAAAATCATCATTCATGTAATAAATTAGTTTTGTGATTCAAGAGTGCAAAATTTGTGACCATAAATTAATTAAAGTGGCTAGAAATAAATGTTAGAAAAAGTTGCGTACGCAAGGGAGATTGTGGGTAAAGACTCAGCCTAGCAAACTTGCTCATAATCTGCAGGTCTTCTGCTTTTTATCAGTTTATCTGATTTCTAGTAAGGTTCATGCAATTTTCTTTCTTTCTACGAGTCAAAGACTGATAAAAAGAAATTTCCAAAATATTTAACTTCTCATGATAAAGTAGCTAGAAATAAATGTTAGGAAAATAGTGCAAGTGAGATTATGAAGGTAATGACTCACCTTGGTAAGCTTGCTCATCGATATGAGGCAACTCAGCAAGAAATTTAACGATGAAAGTGCAGGCAGCACTGGCAGTATCATGGCCTCCGATCAAGAGACCAAGAATCTCATCAGCAATATCCGATTCACTCATGAACTGCCCATTCTCATCGCTCGTCGTCAACATGTGAGACAATATATCTTGTGCTGCAGAAGCCTTCCCTTCTGCTAAATCCGCCTTTCTCAGCTTTATAATCTCCAAAAGCTCCTTCCTTATGAACCTCGAAGCTTTTATGGCCTTGTTAAATGGCGTCCCAGGCAAGTCTATGGGCATTGATATTATCCCTGAAGCCAACAGATGAAATGGGTCGGCGAACCTCGCCACGTGCTTTGGATCTTCAACGCTCAAGAATATCCGACAAGCCAACGCGAAAGTGTATCTGCTCGATGGTCATTATCCGATCCCATGCACAAACAAAACAGATATGGTTAATTACGATTTTGTTTTTGTTCCCTGCATTAAGCATAGGAAAAATTAATGAGGTTTCTTCATTAATTGGTTTGAGGTGTACCTTTTGGCCAATGGGAAGACGGTGACTTTGTTAGAGACTAGCCCAGGCCCAAATTCATATTGCCCAGTCAGTATATTTTGTCTGTATTATATTGTGATGATTCCCTGTAACCGTTTTCTATATACGTGTCACATTTGTATAGGTTCTGTTATCACTATTCACAGCTGTATATTCTCTAGAATCATGTATTCTGTTATATAAATATATGAGACCGGAGCACTACTATTCAGTGCTTCAGAGCATATTCCTCAATCACTCTTTTCCCTTTAATTTCTTGCTTGGTATCAGAGCAACCATGGCAGAATCTGCCAAATCCGACTCAGCTTCCTCTGTCTCATCTACCGTCAAGACATATACGCTCTTCAGCTCCTCCAGCCAGACAGCGGCGGTCAAGTTGGACCGTACAAACTACCTGGTCTGGGAATCAATCGTCCTTCCTCTGATCGAAGGCAATAGACTTGCTTCTCATATCGATGGAACAGCCAGTGCGCCTCCACGTCTGGTTCCTGATGTTGCAGGTGCCACGAAAACTAATCCCGAATTTGAAGATTGGTACTCAATTGATCGCATGCTAGTCGGATGGCTGCGGAATATGTAGTAAAGCTTGTTGATCAACCTGACTTGACTTGGATTTCAGCTCAGTCGTCCTTACTTGCCTTTGATCAAAGGCTCGAGCAACTTACCCAGTTCTCCAATCTTAGCCTTCAGCCTTCTGTTAATGCTGTGAACACTGTTGCTTTTCACCCAGACTCTGGTAGACGGTCTGATTCTGGAAATGGCCGTGGAGGATGGCGTGGTTCTCGCAATCCTCGAGGAAGTCGCGGCCGAGGACGTCGTAATGGTGGTCGTCCATACTGTCATTGGTGTCAACGCCCAGGCCATACTTTGGCTACATGCTACTATAAACCTCATAATGATTTTGGTTCTCGTCCTGATCATTTTTCTGGCTATAATCCACAGGTGTTTTATGCGAATCCCCAGACAGTCACAGATCCATCCTGGTATATGGATAGCGGTGCTAATTACCATGTGACGCCCCATCCTGAGACTCTAGCTCATGTCACTCCGGTTGGTAAGTCCCATATCATTTCTTGTACTGGTGATCGAGGGCGCATTGTGGGCATTGGTTCCACTACTTTTCCTTGCAGTCAGTCTAAATTACTTCTTAAAGATGTTCTGCTTGTACCCTCTGCTACTAAGAATTTAATGAGTGTTAATCGATTAATTAAGGATAACCCTGTGGATGTGAACTTTACTAATCATGGTTGCAATGTGAAGGAGGCGGTGACAGGCAAGCTGTTGATAACAGGGACACCCAGCGAAGGCCTGTATCCAATGGGCAGTAAAGATCGATTGGGGCCCCAAATACTTAGCACTGAGTTCAAGTCAATAGGATCAGATTTAGAGTTTATCAAATGGCATCATGCGTGGGGTCATCCGAGTATCAAAACCTTGAAATATATAATGAATAAATGTAATCTGCGTTTTCCTGTCAATGAAAACTCTGTATGTGAGGCTTGTCAATCAGGAAAATCAAAGTTTTTACCATTTCCTAAATCTCTGTCTCAAGCTTCGGCTCCACTAGAACTGATTCATTCTGATCTCTGGGGTCCTTCCCCTGTTCAAGCAACAGGAGGTCATCGTTTTTATATCCTTTTTGTGGATGATTTTAGTAGATACACTTGGCTATATCCGTTGAAGAATAAAAGTGAAGCAGTTACCGCTTTTAAACACTTTAAAGCATTGGTTGAAAATCAATTTAATGAGAAAATTAAGGCAATACAGTGTGACAATGGTACAGAATTTAAACCATTTGTTCCTATAGCTCAAGAAGCTGGTATTGATATGAGACTCACATGTCCCTATACATCCGAACAAAATGGGAGAGCTGAGAGGAAACATCGACATGTTGTAGAAACTGGATTGACACTTCTAGCCCAAGCTCATATGCCTCTAATGTACTGGGTTGATGCGTTTCAGACGGCTACTTTTCTGATTAACCGACTTCCTACTCCGGTTCTTGACAATGAGACTCCTCTGTTTCAGCTATTTAGGACAGAGCCTGTTTATAGTCAACTAAAGCCTTTTGGGTGTGCTTGTTATCCCTGTTTGAAGCCATACAATGCTCACAAATTTGAATTTCATAGCCAGAAGTGTGTCTATCTCGGTCTTGCGTCACAACAGAAGGGTTATAAATGTTTAAGTCCAACCGGGAAAATTTTTATTTCAAGGCATGTTGTTTTTGATCCATATCTTTTCCCTTTTGTTTCAGGATTCTTAAATAAGCGGTCAAATTCTGGTGACTCTTCTAGTTCCATGCCTTTAATAATTTGCGCACCCCCCATAGAGGAGAATACTCGATCGGATTCAGCCTCTGTTCTGCCCATGTCAGGCCATGTGTCTGACTCTAGATCCTCCGAGCAGTCACATATTGAGAGTCCATGTGAAATGGCGTCTCCAATCAGATTCGACTCTGTTGAATCTACTGGGTCATCAGGGTCATCCTCTCCACCTGCGTCTGCTGCTCCACTCTCTTCGTCTAGCCCAAGTCCGGCAGCACAGTTTTCGCCACCGATTGGGCCTGTTAGTGTGCACCCAATGACTACTCGGGCTAAAGATGGCATTGTAAAGCCCAAATACCCCTATGTTGGGTTATTAGAAAATGAAGACCCTGTTTCAGTAGACAAATGCACTGAACCTAGCTCAGCTCGAGAAGCTCTGACGATGGAACACTGGCGGCAGGCAATGACGGATGAATATGGAGCTTTGCTTCGAAACAAGACCTGGTTTCTCGTTCCTTTTGAGAACCAGAAACTAGTCGACTGTCGGTGGGTTTTTAAAACCAAGTTCAAGGTTGATGGTTCGGTTTTAAAACACAAGGCGCGTCTGGTCGCGAAGGGATTTCAGCAGACCCCCGGTGTTGATTATAGCGAGACCTTCAGCCCAGTAGTAAAGCCGATTACCATTCGTGTGGTTCTGGCTCTTGCTGTTTCCTTCAATTGGGAAGTAAGGCAACTTGATGTGGATAATGCCTTTCTCAACGGTTTTCTAAAAGAAGATGTCTATATGCAGCAACCTGAAGGTTTTCGCGATCCCAGGTACCCTAATCATGTCTGTAAACTGGTTAAAGCAATTTATGGTTTAAAACAGGCTCCACGAGCTTGGTTCGATCGGTTGAGGCTGACTCTGTTGCAATGGGGTTTTCAAAATGCCAAGAGTGATGTTTCTCTCTTCTTCCTTCGAACTCAAAAATTGACTATCTTTGTGTTGATTTATGTTGATGATATACTAGTCACTGGGAATGATTCTGTTTTTATCAGAAATTTTGTTCAAAAACTTCATCGCCTTTTCTCACTTAAAGATCTAGGACCCGTGTACTATTTTCTGGGGCTAGAAATTTATCGTGACAAACATGGAATGTTTCTGAGTCAGGCCAAATATACTCTTGATTTGTTGAAAAAATTTGGAATGTATGACTGTGCCCCTGTATCTACTCCTATGGTTACTGGAAAACATGCTCTATCGGATGAAGGGGAACTTATGACTGATCCAACTAGATATAGACAAGCCATTGGCTCTCTTCAGTATCTTGTTAATACCCGTCCTGATATAGCTTATGCGGTCAATAAGCTTAGTCAATTTCTTGCACAACCTAGAACAGGACATTATCAAGCTGTTAAAAGAATTTTCAGATACTTAAAGGGTACATATAGTCTTGGTTTGTGTCTGAAGCCTTTTCATACACTCCGGTTATATGGCTATACTGACGCTGACTGGGCTACTGATGTTATTGATCGAAAATCAATGGCTGGAATGTGTATTTTCCTGGGCAATGATCTTATTTCTTGGTCTTCTAGAAAACAACGTGTTGTGTCCAGGTCCAGTACTGAGTCTGAATATAGGGCTTTAGCTGATGGTGCAGCGGAAATTCGGTGGTTAGCTTCACTACTAACTGAACTTGGTATATTTCTCAAGCAACCATCTGTTATGTGGTGTGATAATCTAAGTGCCAAGGCTCTATCCGCTAATCCAGTTCAACATGCTCGTTCTAAACACATAGAAATCGATGTGCATTTCATCAGGGACTTAGTTCTATCTGGAGCCATTGATGTCAGATATATACCTTCAACACATCAAATTGCAGACTGTTTCACTAAACCTCTATCTCAGTCTCAGTTTCAATTTTTCAGGCACAAACTCGGGATGGCTATTGCCCCCTCTCGTTTGAGGGGGGATGTTAGAGACTAGCCCAGGCCCAAATTCATATTGCCCAGTCAGTATATTTTGTCTGTATTATATTGTGATGATTCCCTGTAACCGTTTTCTATATACGTGTCACATTTGTATAGGTTCTGTTATCACTATTCACAGCTGTATATTCTCTAGAATCATGTATTCTGTTATATAAATATATGAGACCGGAGCACTACTATTCAGTGCTTCAGAGCATATTCCTCAATCACTCTTTTCCCTTTAATTTCTTGCTGACTTCCTTCTTGTTTTCCCAGCCTGAAGCGAAGTGTCTCTGAGCGAGGCCGTCCATGATTCAGATATAACGTTGCAGAGCCTCCGGCTTCAAGAACTGAGGAAGCAGCTTCCTCATCTTCTTCGCTTCTTCCTTGGAGTTCGTCCGAAGCGACGTCGGGAACAAGTTGTTTACGGAGTCCGGCCACCACGCGGCAACGAGCTTGTTCTCGTTGGAGAACAAGAACTTGTTGCTTGCCGTCTCGCAGAGCACCGCCGCCGGCTCGCCGAAAATGGAGGTCTTGAAGATACGGGACGAGAACTTGTGCATGCGATCGAAGATGAACTTCTCGGGGTGGCCCTTCCATCCGGTGGACAGAAACTCAAGGCTCTCTCCGATCAACGGATAACCAATCGTGCCCGGTGGGAGGTTGGGGCCGGCGAACATGGACCAGTGCCTGTAAAAGAGGAAGAAGAGAGAGAGTGTGACGAAGGAAACGAAGAGAATGAGAAGGGAAAGGTAGAAATGCTCCATGATTATCAGTTGTTTCGATCGGCTTTGCAAATTCTGGAAAATCTGATTTAAAGGCCGATGGATGCAGTGAGGCAAGTTTGGGTGTGCTTTGCAAGTTATAGCCCTAAATGTGATGCTTGTCAGTTCCAAAACTGACATGTGGCGGCATGGCAAAACCAGGAGTCAGAGCAAGCTCGCTAGCTAGCTCATTTGCGAGTTCGGCATGCTCCTCGCGACTGATGTCACATCTCCACTATGTATATGATTATATGATAGCATGCTTCAATGCATTTTACCTTTTCTTCTCTTCTCAGTTGTGATCGGTCCTCACGGGCCCACATCGATCTGTCCCATATAATATGTATTTATAGTGACACACACACACGCTTCAAGGCTTCGGTATTGCCATGTTAATTAGTGACATGTTCCGAATTTTTGACTTTTAATATGATTATGTGGCCAAATTTAAGTATCATCCAACCCATATACATGAGACAGCCGCGACAAGGCCTAATGAAGTTGGTAGATTCCATTTAATTGATAAAGAATTATTAGATATTTTGTTTGTAGAAGTTTTTACTCTTTTAAGCAACTTATTCTCTTGCAATATTTTGAAATTGAAGTATGAGAAAAATATGTTGGAGATAGTAAACACTATCTATATCCAATAAATGAGTAATTAGAATGTATTTTATCTAATTTAATTTTCCCCTTAAATTTTATGTCACTAATTATTATTATATTGCCTAAATAATATATAGCAATTTGGAAATGAGTACTTTTTATTTAATTTTTTTATGGAGAAGAAATTTAGCTTATTTGCACACCCGTTAACAGAATGTAAGTTTTCAAATTCAAAACCCTACAAACCTAATTAAGCATACATCTCCTAAATATGTGCTCATTACTTTATTTGTTTTCAAGTAAACTTCATCCATTAAGAAGCTTAAAAGATTATTTATATTTTTCATAATTTATTAATCATATGATTAATTCATTATAAATTTTAAAATTTTTCTCTGAAATACTTATACTTATCATTAGATTTAGTTTATAAGTTAAACAAATTAGTTAGAAACAAAAGATAAATATAAATACTTTAAGGTAATTTTATTTTTCTTAATTTTTTTTAAATTAGTCAACTATATCTTATACTTAAAAGATAGTACTAAATTTTAGATTTAACAGTCCCCGTACGCACATATACATTTTTTTTAATTTATTAACCATTAACAGTACACATATATCAATTGTGTACATGTTTAAAACATAACAGCCACGAGAGAGATAGAAGGAAGGAGATTACTCTATTCTGCAGTTTCATTATGAAATGATTGGGAATATTCCAGTCCCGTTGCATCTCATGAGCACCAACAAACAAATCACAGCATTATTAAATTCGAAGGGAAAAAAGAAAAAAAGAAAGGAACAAAGAAGGGAAGAGCTAGTAATTGATGTGATGGCCACATAGAAGTGATAATCTTGGTTTCAAGGTTGGTGGGAAATGAGACGAACAGGAAGGCCTTGGGCGGGAATAGGCATAGGATCAACAATAATCTTCTCATCAGGAAGCAGTTTTTGCCATTTGAACCTCTTCACTAAGTTGTGCATGAACACCAGAATTTCCAGACGAGCGTACTCCTTTCCGGGACACATCCTCGGACCCCCTCCGAACGGTACGAAGGTGTACGGTGCCGGACCATTTCCTTCGAATCTTGTCGGATCGAACTTGTCTGGTTCTGGGAAGTATTCTGCGTTCTTGTGAGTTGAATTTGCACTCCAATACAGCTATATATTTTCATCAACGAGACAGAGAATTAACCACATTATTAGTTTTTTACTTAAGCTAATAATTAAGATTATAATTATGCGAGGGCCTAGTCAGATTATATATATATATATAGATATATAGATGAGTACATACCTTCCAGCCCTTTGGGATTGTGAAACCATTGAAGATGAAGTCATTGATGGCTTCCCTGAAAGCTCCTTGGAGTGGAGGGGCGAGTCTCATGACTTCACAAGCTACGTTCCATGAGTATTTCATCTTTTGGATGTCATCCCAATTCAGTAATTCCCCTGGGGCTTTTGATTTTGCAATTTCCATTTGCTCTGCATTAATTAAACCGAAGGAAATTAAAGAGAGTGATGAGGAAATTAAAAAAGTCTTTAACTTTTTATTTCTCCTTTTTGGCCGCAGTAGTAAAGGAGGAGATTCCCTATCGTGTGTGTGTGTGTATCATCGTACTTTTGCACAATAAAGTGAAAGATTCTCGTTTAGGCTTTTATTGACGAAATCAATAAGATATCGCCTGCAAGATCAGAAACAAAAGTAAAATTTGCAAGGTAAAATAGTGTCACGTTCTCCTATGAACAATATAACTCGAAGACAGATAAAAGATATGACGTGTTCCCAGAAGTCATTCAGGGATAATGTGAAAATTAAGATGCATTCGGTCGTTGATTTTTTTTAATGTATTCATAATGTTTAATAAATGTATTAATTAACATTAATTATGATATCAATTTTTTTTCCTTGGCCAGGTGTCTAATTACTATGCAGTGAAATTCCTGGAGATGACACGATACTAATTAAATACACCGCCCTATAATAAGTACATAAACGAAAAAACAGATGAAGGCGAAAGACCTAGGTTGTCATGTATAGTCGGTGGCGTTTAATATGAATGTATTAATTATTTGAAAGATATGAAGTACTACCTTCAGTCTTTAATATAAGAATTAGTTTAATTTTTAATTTGATTCTAAATATAAGACCTCAATTCACTTTATCTTTTTCAAGTTTATCTTTATAGTAGTTGCACATGTTTAAATATTTTATCAAATGTCAAAGCTAATACACGTGATTAGTAAGAGTATTTAAGAAAAAAATACTTATTTATCACAAGTAACTAACTTAACAAGCTTTATTGATTTACTCAAATTAATTAATTAGCTCTTATATTAAAAACGAAAGGTAGTGCATAAATCTTCAAGAGTTTGACTTCCAAGATTTCGTGTGAGAATGAAAACGGCGAGCAACTTGTCAATGATATATCTCAAGTAAATTAACGCAAGTGGCTGTGTCGAATTTCGTAAGTAAGGGGTAACCATTTCCAAAAGGATTATTTCGTGGTTGGGATAAAATCACTTATAGAGTTTTAGGTAGGATCAATTGGTTTTTTCCCCTCAACAATTACATGACATAATTGAGATTATATATAATAGCAATCTTTTACCAACTATACTTTTTATTTTTGGGGCATCAATTTTCCTCAAACTTCTGCTATATCAATTCTATGTAAAATTCAATTCATGATCTCATTAAATGAAAGAATGAATTTTTTTAGCCCGAATAAATGATGCCAAAAAGAAAAAAGATCATAGTGATGGAAATCATCATTCATGTAATAAACGAGTTACGTGATTTAAGAGTGCAAAATTTATGATCATAAATTAAAGTGGCTAGAAATAAATGTTAGAAAAAGTTGTGTACGCAAGAGAGATTGTGGGTAAAGACTTGGCCTAGTAAACTTGCTCATGATCTGCAGGTTTTTTACTTTTTATCAGTCCATCTGATTTCTAATAAGGTCCATGTAATTTTCTTTCTTTTTAGGAGTCAAAGACTGATGAAAAGAAATTTTCCAAATATGTAACTTCTCATGATAAAGTAGCTAGAAATAAATGTTACCATAATTGTGCAAGTGAGATTCTGAAGGTAAAGACTCACCTTGGTAAACGCGCTCATAGATATGAGGCAACTCAGCAAGAAATTTAACGATGAAAGTGCAGGCAGCACTGGCAGTATCATGGCCTCCGATCAAAAGACCAAGAATCTTATCAGCAATATCCAGTTCACTCATGAACTGCCCATTCTCATCGCTCGTCGTCAACATGTGAGACAATATATCTTGTGCTGCAGAAACCTTCCCATCTGCTAAATCCACCTTTCTCTGCTTTATAATCTCCAAAAGCTCCTTCCTTATGAACCTCGAAGCTTTTATGGCTTTGTTAAATGGCGTCCCTGGTAAGTCTATGGGCATTGATATTATCCCTGAAGCTAACAGATGAAATGGGTCGGCGAACCTCGCCACGTGGTTTGGATCTTCAACACTCAGGAATATCCGACAAGCCAACGCGAAGGTGTATCTGCTCGATGGTCATTATCCGATCCCATGCGCAAACAAAACATAGTTAATTACGATTTTGTCGTTGTTCAATGCATTAAACATAGGAAAAATTAATGAGGTTTCTTCATGAATTAGTTTGGGCTGTACCTTTTGGCCAAGGGGAAGACGGCGACATCCTTCTTGTTTTCCCATCCTGAAGCGAAGTGTCTCTGAGCGAGGCCGTCCATGATTCCGATATAACGTTGCAGAGCCTCCGGCTTCAAGAACTGAGGAAGCAGCTTCCTCATCTTCTTCGCTTCTTCCTTGGAGTTCGTCTGAAGCGACGTCGGAAACACCTTGTTGACGGAGTCTGGCCACCACGCGGTAACGAGCTTGTTCTCGTTGGAGAACAAGAATTTGTTGCATGAAGGCCCGCAGAGCACCGCCGCCGGCTCGCCGAGAATGGAGGTCTTGAAGATATGCGACGAGAACCTGTGCATGCGATCGAATATGAACTTCTCGGGATGGCCCTTCCATCCGGTCGACAGAAACTCAAGACTCTCTCCGATCACCGGATAACCAATCGCGCCCGGAGGGAGGTTGGCGCCGGCGAACATGGACCAGTGCCTGTAAAAGAGGAAGAAGAGAGAGAGAGTGACGAAAGAAACGAAGAGAAGGAGAAGGGAAAGGTAGAAATGCTCCATGATTATCAGTTGTTTCGATCTGCTTTGCAAATTCTGGAAAATCTGATTTAAAGGCCGATGGATGCAGTGAGGCAGATTTGGGTGTGCTTTGCAATTTATAGCCCTAAATATGATGCTTATCAGTTCCAAAACTGACATATGGCAGCATGGCCAAACCAGGAGTCAAAGCAAGCTCGCTAGCCAGCTCATTTGCGTGTACCTAAATATAAATTATTTAAAAGGTCAAATTAATTATTTTCTGTTTTGCTGATACGAAAAAGAAAAGCTTTTGGAAGTAATATATATTAATATAAGAAAGAAAATATGGAGTATAATAAAATAAGAGTTTGTAATGTTAAAATATATGTTTGCGAGTTCAGCATGCTCCTCGCGACTGATGTCGTATCTCCACTATGAATATGAGAGGATGCTTCAATGCATTTTACCTTTTCCTCTCTTCTCAAATTGTGATCGGTCCTCAAGGGCCCACATCGATCTGTCCCATGTAATATATTATATATACACCGGGGCTTCATTGGCCCCTTGTTGTCATATTAATTAGTGATATGTTCCGATTTTTTGAATTTTAATATGATTATGTGATCAAATTTATGGGTGAACAAAATCAAACTATAACCAAAAACCAAACAGAATCGTTATTTCAATTTTTAGTTGTATATTTGGTTTTTATTTTTTTAATAATTCAGTTTCGGTGTTCGGTTTAATTAGTAAAAAAAATTTTAGTTATAGCCGAAAAAGCAAAATAAATATATTATATATTTATATTTAATAAATATTATTATAATAAATCACATTGAATGATGAAATATTTATTAATTAATAGTTATAATTGTGTTTTATTATTATTTTTAATTTAAAATCACTTTTCACATTTATATATTTCGGTTAATCGGTCAACTGAACAGAAATATTTCGGTTAATTGGATTTCAGTTAGTTTGATTAATCAGTTTTGGTTTGATATTTAAAATTTACTCTATTTGATTATTTAGTTAATTCGGTTATCACTGATAACCGAACTGAAAAACTGAATGCTCAGCCCTAGTCAAATTTAAGTATCATCCAACCATATACGTGAGACAGCTGTGACAAAGCCTAATGAAGTTGGTAGATTGCAATTAATTGATAAAGAATTATTAGATATTTTGTTTGTAGAAGTTTTTACTCTTTTAAGCAACTTATTCTCTTGCAATATTTTGAAATTAAATTATGAGAAAAATATGTTGGAGATAGTAGACACTATTTATATCCATTAAATGAGTAATTAGAATGTATTTTATCTAATTTAATTTCCCCCCTAAATTTTATGTCACTGGAATTTATATTTGATTATTATTATATTTCATAAATAATATATAATTATATATAGCAATTTAGATATGAGTACTTTTTATTTAATTATTTTTAATGAAGAAGAAATTTAGCTTATTTGCACAGCCGTTAAGTGGATGTAATTAGTTTTCGAATTCAAAAACCTACAAACTTAATTAAACATGCGTCTCTTAAATATATGTGCACATTATTTTATTTCTTTTCAGGTATACTTCATACTACCTCCGGTCCTTAATATAAGACCCTGTTTGACTTTTATTTTGGTCCTAAATATAAGACCCCAATCCACTTTGTCTCTCATATTTACTCAATTTTTTTCAAAATAGTCCTTTTAATAATTATAGTTCTAGTTAATACACTTGATTAGCAAGGATATTTTAGGAAAAACAATAACTATTTAGCACAAATAACTAACTCAACTTACTTCTTTAATCTCCTCAAATTAGTCAACTGACTCTTATAATTAGGACTGGAGGTAGTACATTACAAGGAGCTTAAAAATTATTTATATTTTTCATAATTTATTAATCATATGATTGATCCATTATAAATTTCAAAAAAATATTCACCAAAAGAAATAAATAATTAATTAATGAGGTTAAAATATGGAGGAATATATGCGAGCCACCATAAAATATTAGTATTGTTTAGCAACAATATTAATAATTTTTCTTATTCACAACAAAACTATAATAAGAAATTGTTTTCCAGCTCCACGCGGCACCCCGTGCTGCTCGCGCACCTCGCGCACCCGTTTCCAACATAACCCATGAATATTTCAGTCCTTAATCATTCATACTCTTTTTTTTTTTTCTACTATATATTTCGTTCTCTTTTTTTAAAAAAGTTGTATTTTGCATTACCAAAAATAATGTTGATGCTGATTGCTGAGAACCTGAGAGATGAATCGTGAGTCAATAATCCAGTGGCTTGTTGGTTGATTGACTTTCTTTTTAATTATTTTTGTATGTTTGATGTCCTTTTTTTCCCCAACATCTTTGTGATGTTAATAAATGTGTAAATATTTTAAGTTAAAAAGTGAGATGATTTACTTGATTTTTTATTTCATACGATATACGTATATCATGATTTAAGAAATTTTCTTCAATCATTAAGACCTTTTGTATTTTTTTTTCCAAGTGAAAATGGGAATATATTTAATGAATGACTAAATGCGCATAAACGGGCAACAATTAACAAATAATATAAATAAGACTTATAAGTAATGCCTTGAGAAACTCGTTCAGGTCCATTGGTGGAGACTTATAAATCACTCAATAGTAGTTCATTAAATTTATTATTTAGTAAGTATATTTTATTGAATTATGTGTACTTTATACATAGATATTCAATTTATTTATAAATTACTATCTTCTTATTTAAATAAATATGACTTTTTCAGAATTATATATGAATCTTTTTGTATTTTAATTAAATTATATTATTTTTTATTATGATTGAGTTGTCATCTATTCAACAATAATTGAACCATTAATTCTTAGGGAGTTCTCTGTGGGCAAGAATGTTTTGAGTAATCAATAATTTTGGAGACACACATATACTAGGTGGCAAGGTTGTCAAACTCACGAATTTAAACAAACTCGTGATAATGATGTAAATTCGGATCGTAAACTCGTAAGATTTTACTTTTATTAATAAATTGATATTAAGATTATATAATTAAATAATTAATATATAAAAAATGAGAACAATTTCATTTAAATATATTTTAAATTTAAATAATTGAAATTATATTTATCAATGTTCATAATGTATCATTTCAACAAAGAAATTTCTATAAAAATCATATATAAAGTCACTAAATATAATTAAATTAAAAAATTTAACACAGATTTAAAAACGAGTTGACACGATTTTGTAAGCTAAAAACGTAAAAACAGTAAACTCGGTAAACGAACTAGTAAATTTAACCGAGTTTACAGTTATCATGAGTTTAAGAATGAGTCGACACGATTTTGTTAACTGAAAACGTAAAAACGTTAAATTCGGAGAGTCAACTCGCGAGTTTGACAACAGTGCTAGGTGGAGCACCAGCAATAATTCTATCTTTTGTTATTAACTTCATCTGCATAGACTAATATTAATTAACATTCATTTAATTTTGTCAACATAATTTTTAGAAATTTTCTCTTATATATATTGACTAATTGTTTTTGCAATTTCTTTTAAAACATCTATCCCTAATTTTAAATTTATCATTATGAAATAACATATAAAAATTTCAATTACATATATTGTAAATATTTGAATTATTTATATAGTTCTTACTATATTAAGGATGAATACATAGTTTTACTTCGGGTTTTTTAATTCTTACATTACTATACACAAATTTTCTTCTAATGAATGTTTATGGTAACACTTGTTGTGATATATATTGTGGAGATGTGTCAACATAAAAAGTCCCACACTGCTCAACAATGAGATTCTAAAAGTATAAATAATAACTTGTAAGTATAACTTGGTGAACGGGTTTGGAGAAGGAGGGAGAAGACTCGTGCAAGTACGATCACGAGTCATCAAAGGAAAGTTCAATTGAGAATTGAAATCCGCATAGAGGAATTCCATCGTAATTCACTGTTTTTTTTTTTTTTTGTTGTAGTGCCAGTGATTTCTTTTCTCCCTTTTCCGTTCTATACATCTATTCTCCATGATTTCTGATTCCTCCTTTCTTCATTGTCATCAGTACGCATTTCCACAGAAAGAGGAAAAATTAAAAAGTATGGCACCTCAAGGGTATGTCCAAATTCATATAACTGGAAGGTCGCCGAGGCATGTGTTGATGGATAGATATAGGGCCACCAACTATAAACAAATCAGACTAACATTACATTGTTAGAACTAACAGGAGTTAGATCTAACAAAAAAGATTAGTTCATATAAGACTAACAGCCATAGGTGCTCAGAAGAAGACAACACTGTAAGTGCACATGTTTGGATTCTCCTTTAGAAACTGATCTTGACGAAGAACATAGATAAGATCAGCTTAATGGAAGTTTTCGAAGCACATGGGCATAGAGAAGATGAGTCATAACTGAGTTATAAATAACAAGAATAATAATATAAAAATTGAAAACAAAAATTACTAAATCATAGGCGAGTTAAAAGTTTAGGGATTAAGTCACATCGAGTTATAGTTGAGAGACTAAATTATAAGTGAGTTAAAAGCTTAAGCATGAAAAGATTATTTTTTTAATCAAATGAATAATATATATATATATATATATATATATAATGTGTGCACTAACAGCCTATGTGCCTCAGGCTGTAAGCGGGGAATGAGCCTTCCACCTTGAGAAGAGATTTTATGCCATTAGCATAAAGGCTTTTGGCTCATTTTCCTTCGCAATGTTCAGTTTTAATATCATTTTTCTGATATGTGCTTTTTGGGGGGAGGGGGGAAGGTATTGAAACATTTATGAGCTTTTTCCGAAATAAAAGAGGGAACTAGCAAAAATGATACAGTTGGGGATAGATGTCAATAGTTCAGTACAGTTTAAAAATATCATAGTAATTTTTGAAGAAATGGAGATTTTTAATTAACTGCTTCTAACCATTTTTCTCAATTTTTGTCACTTGGCAAAAAAAATGTCTTATGATCAGTAGCAAGTATTATATATTATGCATTCGTCGCTTAGTTTTAGCTCAAGTCTTTATTGTATCAATTGGTCCCACGGCTTTCCAAATTAAAATGAAAAAAAGTTTAAATATGTCATGTAGGCTTTAAATTC